AGAATTTCATGGGCAGTTATCGCTGCGGATGTCCGGACGGCTTTGTTCAACACCTTTATTATAATCAGTGCATCGACGAAAACGAATGCAACACGTCGCCGTGCGGCGACAGCACCTGCATTAACACGATTGGCAGTTACAAATGCGGCTGTCCCGATGGTTATCAGTTCGATAATAATCTGGCAATTTGTGTGCAGGTATAACATTCACAAAATTCTTAGCTTGGTACAAAAAATTTGTCATATTTGTCAATTTGTAAAATTGAAAATAGAATTACAGAGTTTCAAACTAATTTTTATTAATAAAATTAATTGATTTTTTAATATAAAATACAATTTTAAGAAGTTCGAGTTTTAAATAAAAATGTAAACAAATCAATAAGTTTATTTAAAACAGATCTACACAAAAAAATGACAAATCTTTTGTATCGCTCTAACAAAGTAACGCGCAAATGAACATTCTGCATTTTATTTTGCAATTTGTTTTCAAGGTAAACGCCGGATGTCTCGGAAGTCCTTGCGCCTTCGGATGCACCCCGAACGGAGTCAACGGATTTATTTGCGGCTGCCCTACCGGTTACCAGCGAATAGGACAGGTTCGTTCTCGCATTAATATAAAATAACAAAATTGAAGTGTTTTTATTTAAAATATTCGGCTAATTTTACTTTTTTTTTTTAATTTATCGCAGGGCCATTGCTTGTCCACCATTAATCCTTTGACGCCAGGACGTTACGATGAAGAGATCGGCAACGTGCCGACCTTCCAAATCAATCCTGATCCTTATCACATACCGCCGGCGGACGATAAGATAATTTCAACGGAAGGATGCTTTTCGTGCAAGGTTTTTATACCACGTTCATTTTTAAAAAATTGTAATAACAAAATGTAACGCAGAGTTTTTAATTAGATAAACGGAAACGGACGGCACAGAAGAGGCGCTAGAAACAAAACGATGAATGAAGAAATCAAGACAAGAAGAAGTGAAGTAATAAAAAGACGCCGAAACGGAACTAAACGGAGGAGACATCATCACGGAATGGAACACGTGCTTAAAATCAGTCTACGTCAAACGAGGCATCGCACGCGGATTATCAAACTGCAGTCCGCCATTAAGGTAAATTTCACTTAATTTTGACTGACTTTAAAACGTCTTATTTGATTACGAAAATATTTAATATTGAAATACATATTAATTGTTTTCATTAACTGATTGTATAAATATCAACAAGGATTGAATAACTAGATCATACTTAAGTTTTTCAATTAAAAATGAAAGACAAATGTTATTTCAGGGCGAGGACATGGATTACACCATTGCGCGGGGCAACAATAACGGCCACTTCGAGATCGTCCGGGAACGCGGCATTTCCGCTTTGCACTTCCGGCACCGGCTGAAGAAACCCGGCAAGTTTCGCGTAGTGATCCACGGTCGTCCCAGAAACATGACGGCAACGAGAACGGAATGGGAGAAACCGCTGACGTTCACGGTTCATCTCGTAGTCACGGAATGAGAATGGAAGAAGGACCAAGGACAATCGAATCACGTGAGAAGACACTGCCCGACACTGCGTTACGCTTTTTTTTTTAGTCAATTTCGCGAAATTGTTTTGAGTTACGGTATAAAGTATTAAAGAAGACGCCAACGTACGAGAAGGGCGCGAATGCAGAGCGAACAATATTTAATTTAGAATTTTTTTAATAGAGCAAGGATATATATTATTATATAAAATGTAGAGAGGCGCTGTCGAGCGTCTCGAATCTTTGTGTTCACTCGCGCACAAATTGCATTATTTAACTGCCAGATAATAAATATTTTATTTACAAGCAACAACGATTCTTTGTGACTGCCAGCTTGCGATAACTTTGACTACACCTACACTGCCAATGTGCCTATCGAGTGCTTTACACTCTTTCGATAGTCAACGTTTTATATTTACTTGCTTATCGGCTCGCACGCGCGTCGAAAGAATTCTGCTAAACATTTCGTCAAACGTAATTAGATACACTTCCGTGTATTAAATAAAATTCAACGAGAAATCGAAACGCTAATAATTTTCACGCGTTCATCAAGAAAACGCGAACATATAAAAACGTGCTTTACTTGCCTATCATTATTATGTAAGTATACGATTAGATTAGATCCCAATTATCTAATCATTAAGAGAGTAACACGCTAGAGATGTACAAACGCTAGATTATTGTAGCTTTAAGCGAGCAAACGCACGTGTACACAATTACGCAAACGTAGCTTTATATATTTATAAATTTTAGTTCGAGACAAAGCGCGCGGCACGAATGCAGTTTCACGTACAAAATCAGCATACATCTTGCGCTTAAACCTCAAAGAGAATATTCATATATTTGATTAAGTTATGACGTTTTGTGCCTATTAGTAAGAATTTTAATTATGTATAATAATAAAATATACGTCAAAATAGTATAATTCTGTTAATAACGTATAATTCTATTAAAATAATTCCGAGTAAACCTTTAAAAAAAACCGTTCAGAAGGACGATGCAAAATTCTATCGATGAAACAAATAATTAAAAAAAAATATTGCATTACATATTGTCAATTTCTTTTTTTATGCGACTCACAAAATAAATCTCATGGAACATCCCTCGTATATAAAGTTCAAAGATTACCGAGCGCGGAAACGGTAACACCAGTAACTAGAGTATTGACGCACAGATTATGATTGTAACCGCCTCCCAGTACGTCGAATAACCGCAGGGGTTCAATACAGTGCTGGTAAATGCAACTCGAATACTGTACAGTCGACCGGAGATATAATACCGGTTGGCAAATTATTCTTGACGTTCACGTAGGTTCAACTGTCGGCGTTGATCATCGGAACAATGCTTATATAAATTCAGCTCTTTCGAGCCTATATCCTGCGATAAAACTAATCGATTCAGTATTGCCTCAGAAAATTCTAAATCAAATAATGTTCAAAAGTAAAAAAAATTAATTAATTTGAAAGATAAATACGTAGTAAAAAAATCTTTTAATGTATAAAAAATGTGAGTCAAATTTATTAATATTTTTAAGTCTGACCATTTGTGTCGCTTTCCACTTACAAAATTATTTTTTTAAATATTGATTTATAATCAGAAAAAATTTAGTTACCTCATTTTTTAGAAACAACAAATTTTACCACCCATGTCGTAAAATCCTAAAACAACGTTTACCATTGATAATTGAAAATTGTAATAGCACTTCAGGTTATCAAGTGAATCTTGTGTTTATTTGCCGAAATGTCGCAGCAGGATAATTCATTAAAATGAAACGGAGTGCGATTTTCTAATACATGATAGGCTCTCTCGTCTTGTTTATTTCTGTCAAGCTTTCTATTTTCAATTTTGGTAATACAAAAATATTATATCATATAATTTCTGCAAAAATATGAAAAAATATTCTAAAAGCATATCTCAACCCCTAATTCGACATTGATGTCCACATTCTGTTTGCGTGTAACAATCCTCCCCGCTCTTCATTTTGCTATTTCGACACCGGAGCGTCGCGAAAAATCACGAATCGCGACTTCGTGATTCGATTATCCCGAGGGACACGGCTCCTTTCATCGTCCCGATTCGCGCCGATCGGAGTCACGGTTCTGCGCTTCCGGCGAGTTTCGGAGAACAGTCGATGGAAATAATTACATTAATGGCGTCGCCGACAGGAGAGAGAGAGCGCGCGCGGCAACCCGGGCGCCTATCCTACTCCCCACCCGCCCCCTGCTCTTGCGTCGGAAGGCATCTCGAATGGGAGCGAAGCCGGGCACCTCGGCGGAAGCGTAACACTCCCTCCCTCATCCCCTAACCCCCGCGCAGCTATCGCTGCGAGTTATACAGAATAGCGCGCTCGCACCATCTCACGCGGTACGAACCCGCGCGCGCTTTCTTCGTCACAATGGCGTAATGCCATTCTCGGCGCGGTAACGCGACAATGACGCCGCATCCCGCCGCTGGAAAGTAATTATCTTAATGTTCTGACGAGCCGGCGCGGAATGGAGACACCCGCTGGAAACGACGACGAACGTCGCCGAGGAGGAGCGGGAAGGGAAGAAAGGGAGAGGTTCGATGGCTCCCAGGGCGGATTCGTCTTGCGACGACCCGCTCTTGCATCGCCGGAAATGCGATCAATGCGTGAAAACCGCGATGACTCGCTCGTTGCGCGAAAAGCGATGCGTTTAGTCATGATTGTCAGATTAAATTTGATATAAGGTGATAGCTTTTTAAGCTTTTGAGATTTGGCACGCTGAAGAAAAGTTCAGAGTATTCTGGCGAAGCAATATTATGTGCGTTGCGTATTAATCGTATTCAATTTTGTCACTAAACAGAAAAATGGAATTCATTTTTAAACAGATTTAGTTCCACTAAAATGTCAGAATATCTAAATAAGTATGAGTGTTAAAAAAAAAACTGAGATAATTTGAACTTTTTTCACAAGACACATGCGTGGCACACGGTTCTTTCATTTCTTATTATCTTATCGAATCTTATCTTATCTTTCTTTACTTCATTTTAAAAGAGGATGACTTTGGATTTATGCCAAGACCACACATGGCGCACTGCATTGCAGAAATCATGCGACATGATCAGAAGGTAGTAAGTTTAGCTTGTTCATAAATATTAATCATTTTGTTTGAAACATTTGACAAATATTCTTCCTAAAATAACTGAACAGTTTTGTTCTAATAAATATCTATGAATAGAAATCCGAACGGTGAAATTACAGCGAGTCACAATCATTTAAGGTAGTATTTTGTTCTAAAATAAAAAAATCGATTTTTCCTGCGTCTATTAAATGTCGCAAAAATGAGAGATTTGTAAGAAAATAACGAAATTACAGGTAAGCTGCTAATTTTTCTCACTATAATTTAGTTCGACGATTATTCCGACGGTGGAATTTTCCGCGTGAAACTAAATATTCTGCAATAAAAAGAAGAAGAAAGGAAATTTTTCATTAACAGAGTATAAATTTTTTAGAAACGCTTCGTCTTCGTGAGAGATACAATATCAGAACACGTGCATGAATCCCGCGTAATCCCCGCGGATTGGTGCGCTTCGCAATCCCACCCTCCCGATCGATTATACGGAAAATCATGCAGAATCCGAAGGCCCCGACAAAAGAGAAAATCCATAATTCCATTGGTGCGCCTGCAAGCGAGTGATCCTTTGTCCACAGGTCCTAGGACGACGGAAGGGGAATTATACGGATCCCGTCGCAAAGAGAGAAAACGCGCGCGTTTTACCGTGACCACGCGACTCGTATTAACCCCCTTCTGTTTCTTCGTCCCCTCCCCGTCCACACCTCTCCGTCACCTTCCCCTTTACACCCGCCGGTCTCTTTCCAATCTCAATTAGTCATTACGTCTCACGGCATAGCGATGCCCTTCTCGAAATCTCCCTTCTACGTCCGCGCCTGGTTTCCGCATTAATTGCGTCTCGACGACGCTCGCGCCTCCTCCCTCTTCTCTCTCTATTTCTCTCCCTCTTCCCGCTTTCACTTCTCTCGTTCTATACAGGGTGTTTTCAAAAGGATTAGTGTCGACGCCACGAGCCGCATAATTCGACCGAAAGCCCTTTTCTTCCGGAGATCTCGGACCGACGACTAATCCGCATCTCGCGATTCGATGCGCGCATTAATCGCGAGTGTTGCCAAGACAATATTTCTCGAACTGCATTTCAATGTCGTTAGCTCAATATGAATGGTACACAACTGATAAAAAATTTCTCAAAAGCCATGCTTAAAAAAATATAGCGTGTCTAATTGCACACCAAAACTTTCATTCTATGCCTTTACGCGTTTAATTGTACACGAAATAACCGAAACTCTCATTTCTTTACGTAAAATGGTTGAATGTTCGAGACGTGAAAAGGCATTTTACGTACAGAAACATACATTACTTACTTGAACGATAAATCGGCAACGGACAAATTGATTCTCGAAGAATTCTAATTTCTGCATGATAAATCGCAATTTTGAATTTTCCAATTTCTGCCTCGGTTCTTTTTCTACAAAAGAAACACCCCGTAGATCGTGCACGTGTGCCTACCGCACGCGGCGAATTTCAGGGCGAGTCGCACGAACGGGTTTCTAGGGTTGCACTTCGACCCCTCTCCCCCCTTTTCCTCCTTCCTCCCCTACCGTCTACCTCTCTACGCCCGAACCTCACCAATGCTGGGATACAACCCACCCACCCACCTACGAAACCGGGGGAGGCAGTCGCTAATTACGCAACGCGTTCGAGCGTGTTCCTCGGGGTGGCGACGTGGCACCACGATGGGTCCGGATTTCTCTCCTCTTGCTCCTCTCCTCCTACACCTATCGCTTTTCTCCCTTCGTCTCACCACCCCCCTGGTCGCGCACGGGCTCTTCTGAACCCGTTGCCCAGCCTCTCTGTCTTGCACTCCGTTAAGCTGCGTCCCCAACGAGCCAATGCGAGAAATTCATAATTTAACAATTAACTATGATAATAATAGAAAAAATATATATTGTGTATTATAAACTTTTTTTAATTCCATTAAAATAAAAAACTTATTGACTTATGTTGTAAATGTTATCCTGTGTATGGATTGAGAAATTATAAGATGCAATTACAAAAGTTATGCCAACGAGATAATTTAGTCATAAAAAATTTTAGAATTGATTTCTGAAGAATCCACAGTTTTCGTAAATGCTTGAGGAAAATTTCAGGATCGTAAAAGTAGATTTTACAATAATTAATTTCAACAACAATAATTTTTTGAAAATTTGATGGATAAATTTCTATAAGAAGTTGAATAAATTTATTTATATATTTAAAAAAAGACTAAGTTTGTGTATAAAATAGTTCATTTATATAAAATTAATATAAAGTATCATTAAAAATTAAGTTTGCATAAAAATTAAATTGAGCTAAATGCAAAAAGTTGAAAATTTACTGTCTTAAGACGACAAAATTGTGCAACGTGTACTAATTGCGAATGAAGCTTTACCTGTCTACTCTTACGCCTTCGCGATCGCCTATAATCAACCGAATGCGGCACTCCACCTGCTGCGAGCTCGCGCAGGATTGAGCTTCCACCAGTTCCTGCCGGCTTGACATTTCGCCCCGCGTCGTCGGCCGAGCAGTCAACCAACTTAATTTGCAGGATCAATGTCGGGGAGCGTGGATAATCTCGCGCATCTACGAATTACGTGCTTCGCGCGCGATTCGCCGGATACACGTGCATACACACACACATATGCGAAAGACGTTACACATCGTCTATCAGACGATTATTAATTAGCTACACCCTAATTGCTGTCTAAGCGAGATCATCGAGTTTCTGTAATATAGTCGCGATAATTGTCCCGAGTTATTGGACCGGATATCTTCGACAGAGTTCTTGAATTTCACAATTAAATTTTTAATAGCTCTAGAAATTTATTTAAATATTAAATATACAGAGTGCTTAAAAAAAAAAAACACTTGTATGGAAAATTCGTACAACTAGTCTAAATCGCTACCAGCTCTAAATCTGTGAATTCTAAAAGCAATCATTAACGCGAATTTCGAGATAAAATCTTTAACAATCTCGCGAATTTATTTAGATATTGGATGTGTGAGATCGTTAGCTTATTAAGCACCTCAATTTTCTCATTATACACGCAATGAATGGGATTTTCAAATTAATTACCGGGATATTCGGGTTCTGTAGCTCTGCAGCTCTTCAGATCTGAAATAAATTCTAAGAGCGATCATTAACGCGGAGACAACGAATTTTCATGGACGGGTGCGAACGAAAACCCGTGAGTCGCGCGGAGGAGGGCCGGGAGGGAGGGCGGGAGGGAGGGAGGAAAGGGAGGGAGGGGGGGGGGGGAGGGAGGGAGGAGGCGGGCGGTTGGAGGGC